TACTGACCTCCAATCACTACTGACATCCTACTCATGTGTATGAAGAATTACAGAGATCATGTATCTGATAATATATATATATACTGTATATATGTAGAAACTCAATCTTTTGGAGACAAATATTTACAGATAAAATATTTTGACATTGTGGACTTGCTTTAAAAGCACATGGAATAAGGGCAGCAGAAATAGATGTGGAAGCTGGTTTGTGGGTATGCTGAGGTTCATATACACTTTTCTATACTTTTGACAATTTCCAAAATGAAGAATGGGTGATACCAAACCACCAAGAGGTAATCATTCGGTACAAGATAACGTCTTAGTTCTCGAGGCCCACAATCCCTTGGCAAAAATTACTCTTTCCAAACTTACTTTCTCTTCTGAGCAGCATATTTTTTTGTACCAACCAAGTTGGACTAGTCCATGTTTCCCAGTACGAAATAAAGATTCATGCCTTGTACCATCCTGTGGAGGACTCAGCTCCTCTGTCTTCACTCCAGGTTTGATTCCAGTACATCACCCACAGTTTGGTCTCAGTATCCTCTCCTCTAATGATTCCTACCTCACAAAATCTGTTCTTCTCTGACCTGCTTTAACACAAGTGTATGCATCTCTCTTGCAACATTGATGGTGTTGGTAGCCTGACTGTGCACATATGACTTTGTGGCCTAGAGGTTATATGTTTCTGAGACCATTGGTCCTGGCAGCACCTTTTGGTACATATAGCAGTGTGGCTCACAAGAAGAGATCAGTAAAGATAGTTTAATTAAATAAACATAATCACTTGAATTCTAGTAGTAGTGCTTAGGAGGAAGAAGATATCTGAAAATAAAGTTAGGAAAAAGAAGCTAGAAGTGTGACCCTCTGCTTGGAAGAGAGAGAGAATACCTGGTGACAGCTTTCTGAAAACTTTGGGCTTCATATGGAAATGTTTTGTCTTATGGTCTAATAGAGGATAGGAGTAGATGTCCCCTGCCTCCGCAAAAAGGATCATTTTGTGGCCGGGCGTGGTGGCGCAGGCCTGTAATCCCAGCACTTGGGAAGCTGAGGCAGGAGGATCACTGTGAGTTTGAGACCAGCCTGGGCTACAGAGTGAGTTCCCAATCAGTCTCAACTCCATAGTGAGACCCTGTCTCAAAAAACAAAAAACAAACAAAAAAAGGATCATTTTGTGCACACATTCGGGACTTTTCTTTTGTGCTATCTGCCTTGATGTTCTGCTGCCAGAGGCCACCATCCAGCAAGTCCCTGAACCATTCATTAACTGGCCATCACTGGGTTCTCTTTAGTTATCCCAATTTCTTTTTAAATACATTTAACTGGTCAGGGGCATAGCTCAGCAGCAGAGTGCTTGCCTAGCATAAGTCTAATCCCCAAAACACAAAATAAAAGATTTTAAAATGTATTTCAATAGCCAAAGGGGAAAAGAAGAGATTATTTGAAGAACAGAAAATCTGTCTCTGTTATTTATATGACTGGCTAGGATACTGTTCCTTTATCCCACATGGAGCTTTTCTTGAATATGTAAAAAATTATATATCTATAATTAAATTCACCATTTTTACAATTTTAAGTGCACAGTTCAGTGGGATTAAGTACACATATTATACCATTACCACTATCTGTCTTCATAACTTTCTCATCTTCTCAAATTACTACTATAATATACTCATTAAGAAATAACTCCCAGCTGGGGATTTAGGTCAGTGGTGCTGCCGCCTTCCTTGCAGGCACAAGGACCAGAGTTTGATCCCTGGTACAAAAAAAGAAAGAAAGAAAGAAAAAAGAAAGAAAGAAAGAAAGAAAGAAAGAAAGCAAGCAAGCAAGCAAGCAAGCAAGAAAGAAAGAAAGAAAGAAAGAAAGAAAGAAAGAAAGAAGGAGAGAAAACTCCTAGCTGGGCATTGTAGCACTCTTTAGAGGCTGAGACAGGAGGATCACAAGTTCTAGCCCACCCTGGGAACTTAGCGACTTAGTGAGACCCTGTCTCAAAGAAAGTTCAAAGGCCCTAAATTCAATCCCTCTAAAACACATAAATCCCTCCAATTGCCCCTCCTCTCAGCCCCTTACAACTACCATTCTGTTTTCTGAATAAAGCTGGCTGCTCTTAGATACCTTACAGGCGTGAAGTCACACTGAAATACAATAGAAGAAATAGAAAGGTATTATAGCTTACATCAAGATGTTCCCCTCTGAATTCATAGGTGAGGCTCTTGGGAGCTGACTGGATTACGGGTGTGTGAAGCTCATCACTGGATTAGTCCGCTGATGGTTTATGTGAGTATTATATGGGGAGGCAAAGCCTGGTGGGAAGAGTGGGTCACTGTTGGTGTGGCCTTGTAGGGCTTGTAGCTCTCTCTTCCACTGATAACTCTATGCTTCCTGCCTACCATGCCACAGACTGTCTCTCCTCTGCCACACCACCCTGCCCTCAAGGCAGCCATCTATGGACTGAAACCTCTACAAACTGCGAGCCAAAATAATGCTCTCCTCCCTTAACTTGTGGATGTTGGTTATTTTGACCCAGCAACAAGAAAGAAACTAAGATAAAGGAAGTCAAAGAAACTAAACTTTTCTCTCCTTTATTACCTTAAAACCTGGGGACAGAGCCCTCTCAGTTCTGCATACAGGCCTGCTAGTTACTCAGACTGTGTCTGTGTTACAAAGTTTCTTAGTCCTAAATTCTCCTAATTTACCTTATCCCCTTGAGACTGAGGACACCAAGATAAGAGTAAAAAAAAGTAATTTGCAGAGACTCTCAATTGACAATTTTCACAATGTCCATTTCCAGATCCCCCTGGAACATGCCTAGAAATCTTCAAATCTACAATCACCTGAGATTCCAGGAAAGGCAGAGCCTTGAAGACCCCAAGATGAGATAACCTCCCAGGCAGTCCCATTCTGAACAAGGACAGGCCTCTCCTGGGAATCTCAAGCCATAAAGAATCCTTTGGGAATGTAGTAATCAGACTGAGATAAAAATCGGCGGGACCCAGCCCACCTCACTAATCCTTTTTTGAGCAGCTAGTCTGAACCCCTCCAGTTACTCCAGCTGTCAGCTGTGCCTACTAAACCTGTCTATGCTACACAGTGACTTGTCATAGAATTGCTTTTCTGTGATGTGAGTCAAGAAACTGCTAAGTGGACTGAGTTGAGAACCCTGAATCTTTTTTAGGGGATCCCCTCAGACCCTGTCCAGTGACAATCCAGTATTTGTCTTTTTGTGCCTGGTTTATTTCATAGTGTCTGTAACATAATGTCTGCACAGTTCATTTATGTAGCACAGGACAGGGTTTCTGTCCTTTCTGGGCTGAATAATATTACGTTGTACATACCACATTTGTTTGAGACTAGCCTAGGCAACTCAGGTCCTTCCTCTTTCAAGGCAGGCAGTGGAACCACTGAGCTAAACCCCCGGTGAAAGATTGTAATTTTTTTTTTGTACCAGGTATTGAACCCAGGACCTTGTGTTTGCTAGGAAGGTGGCAGGACCACTGAGCTAAATCCCTGGCCAATGTCAATATTTTAAAAGGAGCTGGAAATTTGGCTCAGTGTGATGGTGATGAACCTTGGTTCAAACCCCAGAACTACAGAAAAAGAGAGAGGGGAAAGGGGGGGCGGGAGAGAGAGAGAGAGAGAGCACTAGGTGTGGCCATGGCCATGATTTATTTACAGCAGCCATCAGGACCCATGGAGCACATTCCTGCCTGTCCCACACTGTGGAAAGCAGCACATGTGCTGGGCTGTGGGCTGACATTTGCTTGTTTGGAAGGGGACCCTGCAACCCACTTACTGTTCAGAGCCAATGTAAAGAAGGATCATTCACTGAGGGAGATTCCAGCTTTGAAAATAGGAGGAGTAGTGTGATTCCTGACATTCCTGAGAATCCATCTATGCTTAGTGCACATTTCAGAAAAACAAAGCAGTAGAAGGAAAGATAAAGCCCCAGCCTTTTGGAGAAGGAAATCCTTTGGGTTCCCTTTTGCTCTTAATCTAGTTGGAAAAGATGAATTACCTAGTAATGAGCTTTTATAGAAGGCAGGTCAAAGTATCAAGATTATGGCCAATATTTCTCATGTGATTTCTTGGAGCTAGTAACAATTAAAGCTGCCCTACATTTTGGAGGAATTCTTTTTTTTTTGAGGTATGGGGATTGAACTCTGGACCTTGTACTTACAAGGCAGGTGTGGTACCACTGAGCTAAATCCCTGGCCGTGGAGTAATTATTTTTACTGCAATGTCCAATGAGATGAGGAAACAGCTACTTTATTCTTAGTAGAAGTTTGGCCTCATGCTTAAATCCACCACTAACAACTACCAGTTTCTCAATTCAGAAGGCAAAGAACGAGACCCTAACCCTAACCCTAAATATACCCATTGACAATGAGTACCTGCTGCAGTTGAGATTACCTCGACCCATGAACAGATCATAGAACAGGAAGCATTCTGAGCATAGGCAACAATCCTTCTGACAAAGAATAGTGGAGAGAAAGCCCAGGTGACTCCTCCTTTAGATTGCCCTCATCTCTGCATAGAAGGATTTGGCTGGTATCAACACCTGCTGAGTTCAGGCTTTGCTTTGGAGCATGGCCAGAACTCTTCTAGATGTAGGAAAAGGTCTCCAACTTCTATCTGTCCCAAGAGATGTCATCTCAGAGTTGGCAGAAAAACCAGAGTCTTATATAAGAATCATTTCTGCAATGCAGTTTCCTCAGTATTTATAACATAGGCCAGCAGCTAAACCTTCCAGCAGCTGAAGTGAAGCCTTCATGAATGAGCCACTGGAAAAGTATGAAAGAAAATGGAATAATGGGAGCCCACTGCTGAAGTTCAATAAAGAAAAAACAATTGTTCCCATACATGTACCAATGCAGTTCTCTGGAAGTCCTAACTAGGAGTCAGGACTGAATACAGTGAAATGTTTGAAAGCTAAACGTGGCCCACTTTCAGACTGCTCAGTGGAAAGTGATCTTACAGGAGACCAGTGACAGAACCACTCTTACCTTTCCAGATGCTCAGCTCCACTCTGGAGACCACCTTCAGGAAAACCATCCCACACTGTACAGCACATGTGATACACACCTGGTGGGGAATATGGAAGTTGCCTCCATGGAAAATGAAAATGAAAATGTAAGGAAAAAGATCAATTTCATTTTGAAACTATATTAAGAGAGCAAATCAAATGTTATTCATTTTTAAATGGACTTAATTTGTTTCTAGTGAGTGCTAGAAACACTTGAAAGGCCTACATGTTAACTTTTCCATAAGCCTGGGGATGTAGCTCAGTGGTTCCACTGCCTGCTTTGCAAATATAAGGTCCCAAGTTCGACCCCTGGTACCAAAAAGAAAAAACAAAAAACAAGTAAATAAACATGTGACAGAACTTTTGCATAATGGTTTGGTCTGGTTCTTTCATCTTTTTTTTTAAAAAATGTAATTGCAATTATATAATACAGATCTTTTATTCTGATTTCCCAAGTACTATACTGCTATTGTGCTGCCGTCTCTTTCTGGCCGTCAGGATCCTTTTGGCCAACGTGGTTTGCATGCATTGCCTACATCTCCACAAAACAATAACCAAAATCAGGAAATTCACATCAACATAATACTGTTATAAGTGACAGACATTATTCAAATTTTTCCAATTATCTTAATTATGTTCTTTATAGAAAAATTTGGAGCTGAGTGTGGTGGCATGTGTCTGTATTCCCAGTTACTTGGGAGGCTGAGTCATGAGGACCAGAAATTTGAGGCCAGCCTGGGCAATTTAGCAAGACTGGTTGAAAGGGTGGGGGGAGAAGGAGGAGGGAAAAGAAGAAGGAGAAGGAGAAGGAGAAAGAGAAAGGGAGTAAGAAAAAGAGAAAAAGAATTGCATGTTGCATTTGCCACCATATTTCTTGAGTCTCCTGGTCTGGAACAGATGCTCAGTCTTTGTCTTTCCCAATATTGACATTTTTGAAGACCATGTGGCAGCACATTATAGAAAGTCCCTCTGTTTGGCTTTGTCAGATGACCCTCATTTTTCTATTCTGGTTATGTGCTTTTTGGCAGAGATTTCATCACAGTAATGTGTTATTTTCAGTGCATAATGTCAAGAGACATTATTTTTAACAGAAAAAATATATCTTGGTTTGCTCTTCTAGATAAAAAAACAAAAACAGAGTTTAAACCATCATCAGGCTTTTGCTTTTATATTTGCAGCAGTGGGGATTGACCCCAGGGCCTTTGTACTAAAATGCATACCCGGCCCTTAAAAAAAAATTTTTTTTTGAGACAGGGCTCAAACTTGCAATCTCCCTGCCTCAGTCTTCCAGAGTGATTGTATTATAGGCGTATGCCACTGTGTCTGGAAATCAATCAGGTTCTTCAAGTTGTAGTCTGTTTGGGCCCCTGTACTAAAATTACTGCAGATTTGAGTAGTTTATAAACAACAAAAATTCATTCCTCACAGTTCTGGGAACCAGGAAGTTCAAGACCAAGGTGAGACAGTTACATACTCCACAAGAAAAATAAAATAATTAAAGAGTAGACCAATCTTCAAGGCTATGAGATTAAGGGATCACAGCTGGAGAAAGGAGGATGAGAAGTCAGCTCAGCCTTCAAAGACTGGGTGGTCATCAGGGACACCAAGTATCCAGAACCGAGATACAGAAGATCATTAAGTTCAAACCCCTTGAGGCAGGGAAGGGATCTTCCCTGCTCCAAACCCAATTAGGAACTTCCTAGATGACAAGGGTCAGATTCCATGTGGCAAGGGATAACAGCCACCTATACTTTCATTTTATAAGCATAGTAAAAACCCCACCTGAGGCAGAAACAAGTTGGTTAGGAGACCTGCATTTCATAAAGAGGCCCAGTCCAAAAAAGCATGGCTCAGCAGAAACTCCACCTGTCTTGATGACCTGAACTGTCAAAGCTATGCACCTTTTGGGTCAGCCCAGGGTTTTTTCCCCCCACTGCTTTCCTCCTGAGCTCCAGTGTAAGATTAAGCCATGTTCCTGTGCAAAGGAAGAAGCTTTGTCTGCTTCTGCTGATAGAAAGCACTAGAACCCATGAAGTCTGTAATAAAGGCATTGGTAGATTTGGTGACAGGAGAGGCTCCTTCCTGGTTCAGAGATGGGCATGTTTCTGTTACATCCTCACCTGGTAGAAAAGGGGAGGGATTTTCCAGGGGCCTCAGGTTTTTTTTGTTCTGTTTCTTCCTGAGATAATCTTTCTCACACTGGCTTTGAACTAGAAATTTTCCTGTCTCAGCTTCCTAAAAAGCAAGGACTATGGTCACTTGCCACCATGGCTGGCTCCTGGGGCCTCTTTTTTAAGGATATTGGTCTCAGTCACAGGGGCAGAGCCTCCCAAATCACATCCTAAAGATTTCACCTTCTAATGCTGTCTCACACTGCAGTTAGGATTTCAACATATGAATTCTGAAGGGACACCGATCTTCAGGCCATACATATTAATAACTATAACATAATCCATGTTCACCTATCCCTTTCCTCTGGTAGGAACATTTTAAGATGTATCTTACTCAGTTTTATAACATAGTGCTCAGAAAATCTCATGGCATCTAACAAGCTCAACGTACTTAGTGAAAGAATTTTCCTTGAAGAAGACAACACTCTTACTCCATCACAACCCATCCTTTCTGCCTCTGCCCTCAGTCTCCCCCCAGCTGGGACCAGACAGTATTAGACCACACAGCTTGGACAGTGTGGATTTTGAAGATGGCATTGGCTCCACTGGTGAATGGAGAAACTGTTTTGTGTGGATCTGTCATTCACTTCAACACTCGATGAATGCTTGTAGAGTGAATAAATGAGTAAAAGAGAATATGTCAGTGATTTTACACTTCTGCTCAACACCAGCGTTTCCTATAGTGGACTAATGGCATTGATCACTAATGATCAAAAACTACTCTTTTTTACAGAAAATGAATATCATCAGTTTTGAGTTTCTTCATAAATTGGTGCAACCCTTACACTTTTATTTACCAGACTTATTTGTTGCTGGATGCTGGTGGACAACAAAATAACCAAACATGCCAGCAAGGGACTATTTCATCATCAAGGGGTAACCATGATTCTTTTATTTTTTCACAGATATTCATTTGTGGCTATAATGTTATACCACATGTTATACTTGTTATATAGTGAACATTGGTCATTTTATATGCTAATCTGAGCCCCCTTCCTATGTTCATTCTCTCTTCATTGCTAAAATCACAAATCATTGTAATTGAGTATATAGTCAATACTTTTGATTTATCACATACATGTATCAAAACATAATCCCCCCTTCAACTGATATCTCCCATGTGAGATGATTTTAATTTTTTATCTAAAAATAATTCCTTAATGAGCAACTATGTTGGAAGCAAACTCAATTTTTTCTTTTTTCTTTTTTTTTTTTGAGACAGGTTCTCACTATGTCTTTGAGACTGACCTGGAACTCACTATGTAGTTCAGGCTAGTCTCGAATTCACAGCAATCCTCCTGCCTCAGCCTCCTGAGTGCTGGGATTACAGGTGTGTGCCACCACACCTGGCCTCAAACTCAATTTCTATTTGTTGGAGTATATCTTTGTTTCACCTTCCCCCTGGAAAGCTCTATAAGCTTCACCTTCAAGGATGGCTGGCAGTTGTTGTTGTATGTGTGTTGATGTTGATCACTCCCCTACCTTCTAGCCTTCCTTGCTGCTATGAACAGACACACCTCTGATCTCAGTCTGATCATCCTTTTTAAAAGATAATCTATCATTTTGCAATGGCTTGTTTGTTGTTGTTGTTGTTTTGTGGGTTTTTTTGGTACCATTGATCGAACTCTGGTCCTTGTGCTTGGGAGACAGGCAGCAGAACCAGTGAGCCAAATCCCCAGCTGGCCTATTTTGAAATTTCCGTTTTACAGCTGGTGTTTTATTATGATGCCTCTAAGGACAAGTCTTCATTTAGGAATGGGTCTCCATCCAGGGACAGGTCTCTATCTAGAGATAGGTCTCTATTTAAGTGCAGATTTCCATTTGCTTACTGTGCTTATAATTGTTGGATGTCCTGATCCATGATCAATTAGGGAAAGTTCTTAGCTATTATGTATTTAAATATTGTCTCTTGCCCCCATCCCTGCTCTCTTCTATTGCAACATCAAATGCATGTACTTTGATCTCATCCTATTCTTTGTGTGTTAATCTCTTTTTCATATATAGCATGATCAAAAATATAGTGAATGGTTAAAGTTTTAAAAATTTATTACAGCAAAAGACACATTGCTATTAATCCCCATAAAAATACCCTCTCTTGATTTGAATATACTTATTGTTCTTCCACTTTCTGAAGCAGTTCTGGAAGTCCTCTTTCATGGATGTTGTTAGTTGAGTTATCGTGGCTGCTTCAGTGTTCTGAATCAATTAAAAACATTTATCTTTCTGTGTCATTTTGACCTTAGGGAAGAATCAGAAGTGGCATAATGCCAAGATCTGGGGAATAAGGTGGATAAGGACATATCACAATGTTTTTATGTTCTCACTTTTCTGTTGGATAGAGCTAGTAGCTTGCACTATAGTTTTGATCACGCCTTGTAAAGGCACTCATCAAAGAGAATTTCCAGAAGTGCTTCAGAAAGTGGCAAGAATAATGGGATAAGTGTGTTTGAGGTGATGAGAAGTATTTTGGGGGCATTAATGGCAGTGTCTTTTACTATAATAAATTTTTTTTTTTTGGTACCGGGGATTGAACTCGGGTCCTTGCGCTTGCAAGGCAGGCCACTAAACCACTGAGCTAAATCCTTGGCCCTATAATAAATTTTTTAATGTAAACATTCACCATATATTTTGATCACCCCTTTGTATTAAAAAAAGAAAATCTCTGTCTGAGTTGCATTCTAGATAGTTTCTTCAAATGTGTTTTCCAGTTGACTTTTTCCTCTTCTGAGAAGTCTAGTCTGGTGTTTAGCCTATTAAGTTTAGTTTTTTAAAATTTTTATAAATTTTTAAATTTTTGAATAAACTTTGTCAACTTATAGTCTCTTGTCCTTGCTCACATTCTTTTGTTCTGAGCAATGAGAGAGCAATGCAAGAAATTCCACACTCTGAAAAAGACCACAGTGTAATAGGAAAAATCTGCAGGTAGAAAAACTAAATTCCAGTGCCACAGGGAAAATGCAGCAGAGAACAGAGATCATACAAACCAGCCTATTTACCAAAGGCTTCTGCAGAAGCGGACCAGCTGCAAGCTGTCCCTGACATCATCAGCTAATCCAGGTCCTCTCTAGTGCAGTGTGACTGTGCTTTTCCACTTTTAAAGGGATTAATGAAAATCAACTCTCTACCACGTAGGAAAACAAGTGTTGGTTTACTTTTTGAAAACTGACCTGATTTGTGAAATTAATCTGTCTCTTATTTTGAGTCTTTTGCTCATTTTTGATACTAGATACCATTGATCTGGCCCCAGGTTCATTCTCTGCCATAGGCAGACCATTTGAGTCTTCTTTTTGCTTTAGCTTTAACTTGGAAGGACAGGACAGCAGAGAGACTGCTCCTCCCATTTGGGTGGCCCATGGTGGCTGTGCCCTTCTAAGCAAACGGCCCTTGTTGGGTGGCCTCTTTGCATAGCTCTGTCCACTGACACCAGAGTACCCAGGTTGGGTGGCTTTGCATTTCCTGCTGCTTCCCTTGATCATATCTGGTTTTTCTTTTTTTCTTTTAATTATGTCTTCATTCAAAGATGAATCCTTTCAAAGATTTCAGGACCTGACTTAGAGGTCTCAGAACCATGCTGCTTTCCAGAGCATGAGGACAATGAAAAGGAAGCAACAACACTTTTGGTAATTTATAAGACTTTAGAGCTGAAAGGAAACTGAAGGGAAAGAAAACTAAACTTATACTGTGCATTTCATATTGGCCATTGAAATTGAAATTGAATAGATCATATGATATTTATTCCCACCTGAACCGACTGATACCTCCTGGCTGTCCTCAGTTCAGTTCTAACAGTGACACACATTGGTGCCAAGGTCTCCATATTTCCATCTGATTGGCTAAGAGCAAAGCACACCCTCCTCAGGTTTGGTAATTACTAGAGCAACAACAGAACTCAGGAAAGCACTGGTCACATGCTTTTGTCCACAGTTTCACTATAAAAGCTGTACCTATGAGGTCCTAAACACAAAGCATCCACACCCCTCTCTTGTGGATCAGGACTGTTACTCTCCTGGAATAGCAATGTGCTTACCAGCCAGGAAGCAGCACTGAGCCTCGGTGTCCAGAGTTTTTAAGGGCATCTCATTATGTAAGCACAAATGATTAAAGTATTGACTTCGTGACTGATCTCAACTCTAGCCCCCTTCCACTCTTCAGAGGTCAAGTGGCTCTAAGTTTCCAAACTTCTCATCACCTGACTCTGGTGACTAGTCCTTCACTTGAAGCTGCAAAGGGCTCACTAGGGTTACTTCAGTAGCATAATAAAGACAGTCCCACAACTCAGAAAATTCTAAGGTTCGTTACAGGCTCCATTCCTGAAACTCAGGACAATGACTAGACAGATTCTTTATTATAAAACAATAATTATGAGTTGCCTAAATGAACCTTGCTAGGCCATACTTCAGTGACTCACTTCTTTCAACCAGACCCTACCTTCTAACAGTGGGCCAGCTACAAGCTTCCCATGATCCAATCACCTTCCAAAAGCCTTGCCTATGAGCTTATAAAGCTACTGGGTACATCAAGATGTAAACTGCAACATTCCACTTCTGTCCCCCAAAAGACTCATGCATATACCTTTGTGCAAAATGCATTCAGTCCATCTGTAAGAGTTGTCAAAGTTCTAAGTTCCAGAATTGCTGAAAAGTCCAACTTCAGAGTCTCTTCTGAGACTTAAGCAAAGTCTTAGCTGTGAGGCCCTGTAGAAATAAAAAAGAAAGTTAAACATTAGTGACATGCAGTGGTATGGGTAAACATTCCCATTCCAAAAGGAAGAATTGGGAGATAGAGAGAAATTGGACTAAAGTAAGGCTGAGACCCAGCAGGATAAACATTAAATCCCATAGTTCTATGTCCAGCACCTAGAGCAAGAAATGGTGAGATTCAAACTCCAAATGACTTCTGCCATTCTGCACCCACAGCACCATTTGTTGCAGCCCTGTGGCTTCTTCATTGGGTTAACTTTGTTCCTTTTGAGCAGCTTTCCTCAGCAAACACTCCACATTACTGGCATCTTCAACTTCCTGAAGCCTCCAGTGCACTTTAGGCTTTATTCTTAGAGCTTCACACACTGCCCTTCCAGGAGCACACTGCCTGGTCTCCCAGGCCTTCTGAAATGTGGATGGAACCACCTATGACCCCAAACTCTTGTATTCTGCATGCATATAAAACCCACATCACATGGATATGATGTAACAGTCTTCCACCAGCTGGAGCAATAGCCAGGTCCTTTCACATCTTTTTGATGGTTACAGAGGTCCCTGGGTGCCTGTACGGCTGAGCACAGTAAACTGAATCCCAGATAATCAATTCCCTAGGTAACTCTTTTCCAACAGAATGCCTTGGGGCTCTTGTTTTGAAGCAAAGTCTTTCACTTTTGCAGGACAAAGGGCAGGGTCTTGCTTTTTCCTGACATGCCCTCAAGTAATTTTTCCTATTATTCTAACGCAGAGTACTTAACTTCTTTTTAAAGCTAATCTTTTCAGTAACCAAGTTATCTTCTGTTCCAATTTTGTAGGTCTCAGTATTACTGGAGTTTCCTTTCTGGCCAAACTCAAAACTTTTAAAATCAATTAGCCATGTTGTTTTCTCTTGATTCGCAATGTAGAGCTGGCTAAAAGCCCCCAACAGTGCCCATGCCACAGCCTGAATGTTGGACTACCTCAAAATTTCCTCCACCAGATTATTTAATCCACCACCCTTAATCTCAGTCTCCTATAAAGTATCAGTGCATGAGTACAATGTATGCTAGGGCATTATACACACGGGGAGTCAACTGCCAATGGAGTCCTTGTTTCCAAATGAAACAATCTGCATTCTGGTCTTCTGAGTTCTGACCAGAATTTCCCATCAAGCTAAGCTTAGAGCATTCTAGGGCTTCTCTAGCTGGCATCTCCAAATCTTTCTAAACTCCCCATTCAATCACTTTCAATGGCTTCTGAACCACACAATCAGATAGAATCACAACAACAACCCCATTTCTCTTGTACCAAAATCTGTCTTGGTCACTTTCTTATCCCTGAGAACAAGACACTATACCTACCTGCAATTTAAAGGAGAAAAGGAGAATTATTATTATTATTATTATTATTTTATTATTATGATTATTATTATTGTACTGGGATTGAACTTGGGTCTTTGTGCTTACGAGGCAGGTGGTTGCACCACTGGTTAAATCTCAGTGTTTAAAGGAGAAAAGGTTTACAGTATTTTGGCTCAGTTTGTAGAGCTTTCAGTCCATATTTGGCTGGCACCGAGGTAGAACAGCATGGCACAAAGGCATGGTGGAGAAGCTGCTCATGGCATGGTGACAGGGAAACAGAGTCAAGAGAGGAGCTGGGGAGGGAGACAAACCCTGTCAGGCCACACCCCACAGACTTGCCTCTTCTGACCAGATCCCAGCTCTTAACACTAAGCCAGCTGTAAACTCCTCATAATCCAATCACCTTTCATAAGCTCTGCCCATGAGAGTATAAGGCTCTTGGCAGGCATTTAGATAGAAATCATAACATGTTCCCACCATGGTGTACTGCCTCATCACAGGCTGAAGCAACAGTGTCACTCAATCCTGGGCTGAAGTCACCAAAACTGAGAGCCAAAATAAACCCTTCCTCTTTATGCATTTATTTGCCTCAGCCATTTTTTACAATGACAGGAAGATGATTATATACCTACTAACCTTCTAAGGGGATACCCTTAGAGAGGAAGTTATTTCAAAGTAGTTTTATGAGATGGGCTGAACTCTGGCATTTATTTTTGTTTCAGCCTCAGGCCACCATCCATGGTCTCCTATGAATGTTTATGTCCTGAGAGGCTGTTCTGTGTAAAACAGAGTATACTGTGGTAATTGAGCCCCTTGCCCCAGCTGTGCAGTGTGCAGAACAGGGAAGATCCCCTCTGGTCCCTGCCTGTGCAGTTGCCCAGGTCTCCGTGACCATCCCAGAGCTGTTCAGACCCATCTGGGGCTGTCAGTGTCCTCTCTTTGGCCACCCTAAACTTACCAACCTAGCTTTGAAATTGCTTTTAGATAAATAATCTCCACCTACACAGAGAGTGTCACCTGCCAAGAGCCATCCATTGGGGCTACTCTAGGTCTTGGTTAAAAGAAGAAGATCCAGATATGTTCCCTCTTAGAGATCCAAAAGTTGTGGGAGGCTCATTGGGAGCAAGAGTCATTCCTTCCTCAAGCCCATATGCAGCTCCTGAGTATAAACACACACTGGAAATGGCCAGGGATGCTGAAGACATTTGCTCTGAGAGCAATCGGACAGTGGGCAAGAAAAACAGTGCTCCATAAAAGGGCTATGGAGGGGTGCTGGGGGGTACCACAAGTGGTCTTGGTGCCAGGGAGAAGCCACCAAAGATTTATAGCACGACATGGCCAAAGCTAGGGAACTCCAGCCATCTGTACAGCTTAGAGAAAAAAGGGTGAAAGGCTGAAAGAGTGCAGTGTTTGAGAATCATGAGTAGGTGGGTTACTCTGAAGTCTGTCTGGGGAGAGGGAAGGCAGGCAAGAGGCACCAGATGAGGTCCTTGAGGCTGAAAGTGCACCAGGCCAGATGGTAAAAGCCTTCTTGGCAGTTAAAGGTGCAAGAATGGCATGGTCAGAGATTCATTAGGAAATCTCCCTCTGGAAATGCAGCACGTGCCAAAGACCGAGACTATGGATAAACTGAGGTGGACGAGGCCTTGAGTGAAGACCTCCGCAGGACCAGCAATACAGTATTCTTACCCCTGCAGCCCTGGAACTATGTTCTATAGTTGAGAGGTTAAACACTAGCTCCTCATACATACACTTAATATCCATATTGGATGAAATTCAGTAAAAAATGAATAAAATGTTTTTATGCTTTTAAATAATTTTTAAATTTGGAGTACTATGGAATATTGTCATTCATCTATACATTTTGTAATGGCCAAAAGAAAAGCTCATCTTGAGTTAGAGAAAAGTCTGATACCCATAGGTCTAAAAGGAACTGATGCCTATAAATAGAAGGAGAAACAGTCAATTTTTACTTTGTAACTTACCTGCAACTATAATTAATCTATTAAAAAGCATTACTACATATTACATTTTAAATAAAAACAATTAATAAATTAAAGTAAGGTTCTTAAAATTCATTTGAAGTTTGTGTATAGTTAACTGGGCATCAAAGATACAGCATGTGACTCATTTATAAGAATACTTTGCAAACAAAGAGCTAATATCTTAGTCTTTCCTTAAAGACATAAAATATCACTCTTTATAATAAAGTAAAGATCCTGCCTTTTTCAAAATCAATGATCAAAATTCAGATTTAATGGGTATCATAGAGTTACCAGTTTAGGCAGAGAGAGCAAGAGCTGTGTTGCTCCTTTTCTTCCATACTGGTTTTTGGTCTCATGACTGTGTAGAGGAGGACCCAAGTCCTTCTGCCCATGCTTAAGCGTTCAGACAGGCATGGAGCCGTGGAGGCAGGAGGTGAACCTAAAGGAAGATACATAACCACATTCCAAACTTCTTAGCAACTCCATGGTTCTCAGATAGGGAAATAGCCTCCTATGACCCAAATGAATGTAACCTTAGGCGAGACTGAGGGAAAAAAAAAAAAAACACCAAAAATCTAATTCTAATCTTATTCCTGTACATTATGGTCATTATCTGTGTTATTGATAGATCAATAGTACTTGTTTTCGAGTTTTGGTTGTTTTTTACATGGTAGTATAAGTTTTCTATATCCTCAGGTGAGAATTTTGTAAGTTTCAGGCCATTTCTGTCTCTGTCTCTGTCTGTCTCACTCTCTCTAACTCTCTCCCTCTCCCTTCCTCTAATCCTACCTCCCTAGTACTGGTGAAGGAACCCATGGTCTTGCACAAACTAGGCAAATGCTCTACCACTGAGCTACAGTGACTGTCTCTTACAATCCTGGGGAACTGGTGGAGTCTAGCCCTTTCCACACCCTTGCCAAGCTCTCTGAGCTGTAGCCTGCTGATAACTAGCTATGAGAACTTGGACAAACACAGGCACATAGGCCTCTGCATCTCAAATGCCTATCAGCAGAAGAGACACAGAATTAAATGGGTGAGGTGAGAACTAAGTGGCTTGATTTTTATAAGGTGCTTAAATAACACCCGCACACACAGTAACCTTTCTGGAAGTGTAAGCCATCATTTTATAGTCCAAGAAAATCCTTCAGCAGGGTTGGATTTTTTGGGTTCAGAATCAGCACAGCCATAGCATCAAACTACTGAGTGCAATTAAGACTATCTCAAAAGGCACAAAGATCACACATACTAGTGTTGAAACATCCACACAAATATCAAGAATGTTCAATTCCATTTGTAAGCTATTAAATTCAAAGCTTTTTAGAGGCCCAGAAAATTATTTTTCTTTTTCTTTTTCCCTTGTTATGCTGGGGATCAAACTCTGGGCCAGCACTCCACCACTGAGCTACACAGTCCCCAGAGAAGTATTCAGATGGGAATTTTTTAAAGGTTCTTTGATCAGAACAACATAGTGTTGGATTAAAAAAACAATTTGTGTTGGGCATGGTGGTGTACAATCTTTAATGCCAGGAGGCTGAGGCAGGAGGATCTCTGTGAGCTGGAGGCCAGCCTGGACTACACAGCAAGACCCTGTCACAAAACAAAACAAAACAAACAAACAAAACACAACACCCCCCAAAAAAAACCTCCCAACTTGCATGAGCTTACTTCAACAAATGGTAAAGTGTCAGTCAAGCTCATTCAGGCTTACTTTGGTCAGAATGGGTAGCTTTTGAGAAACTATGAGAAAGATATTAAAAAAGTATATTTTCATGTGCTCAAGTAACCTTACAAACCATCCTTTTCAAAGGCTGAATGTTCTTATGAGCCTGTCTAAAATGAGCACACTTAAAATGATCATTAGAAAGTTCTCTATGCTCAACTATATTTCACTTTCCTATCAATTAAGTAGTCATTTAAGTAGTAAGTAATCATTTGTATACCTGACAGTACTTGGAATATTCAAGGCCAGTTAAGACTAGATTCTCCTAGGGTTTAGGTACTTGAATCAGCTTGTAAGGTAGACCTTTCCTACAATCAAATTTATTCTTAAAATCTCCTTAAATGGCTCACAAAGTAAAATCCTAATAAAGGTGATTTTAGCTCCCCCAGTATTGGAATTAGTTATTTTGGCTGAGCTACTGATGAGTTGGTTTGCATTTAAGAGCTGTGTTGCATGAGAAATACTTTTTATTCACTTAGCATGAATGCATGTGGCTTAATTACCCACATTACACAATGCTACAAAATAGTGAATGTTTCCCATTCAAAGACATTCTCACAGAGTTACCTCAACACATCAGGCACTGCAAGACCAGGGCACTTGCCACACGCATTCCTCACCAAAATATCAGTGTGGAAAAGCAGGCCACTTATTAGCACTGTGGTAAGCTACTTCCTGAGATGAAGAGACATTTATCGGGATTAGGAGAAAAAAGTATAGTGACTTGAGACTGGTATGGGAGAGGGAGAAGCAGGTGATGTAAAAAACCCTATTGTTGTATATTAATAAGTAAATTCACATGCAGCTGTTTTCTAGCCCCCTAATATTTTATGAGGTCTTGACTCATCTTCAAAGAACATTGATTTGCAGCAAGTTCTCAAAGTATTTAATTTGGGGATTATTCATACAAGAAACTCCTAGTAATACTATTTATTTAGCAAAACAAAATACACTAGGAAAAATCTTCAAAGATAGCTTCAACTGCATGAACAACCCAATGAATCCTTTTAAGATGGGTTCTTTGAAGATGTCATTCTAGAAACACAAAGTTTACTAGTTCTTCAGTTACAGCAAAGTATTTTATGGGTTATTACAAAAGAACACAAACTTCAGCAGCCATCTCTCCCTATTCAGTTATAACAAAGATTCCCATTTCTCTGAGATGCAAGACAGATAGATTTTGCAAACTATAGATCAGATGCCACCTTGATGAGGAAATGAGCTCATTAACATCCATTGTTTGATGGATCTCGGAGAAAATGGGAAAAGTGATTCCCACACCTGTCTCAAAGCCTGGTCAGGTTGGGTTTATAGCTCAGGTGTGTACCCAAGTAGATTTGTTTCTAAAAAGTGATGGAAGCTTAAAAAAAAAAGTGATGCAAGATACTGCCATCTGTTCATATGGATTCTCCCTTCATGACTACCATACTACAAATTTTCCCAAAAATGTAACAATCCAATGTGCAGGAAGGATAACCTCATGGGAAAGATAGACCCTTAGGGTCTTCCCTTCAGGTCCTGTGACCTTAACAGCCATCAGCCTCATGTCCTGTCAATTAGGGATAGCCTGTCCGCTGAGTAGGAAAGGGTCAAATAAACTGAAACTTCAAGAAGCATGTTGTGAGCCATAAAACAGGATCATATGAGATTACTAACAGACTACAGAAAGTTAGACAACTCAGAAACACATTCTGGTATGAATTTTATTTTAACAAAAATGCACTTTAAAAACTGATTTACATTCTCAAACTCTCAAACTTCCACTTACTTAAAAAAGTGAGAGACAAAGCATCCTAGACTCAAGTTCAGGCATGAATAAACTAGTACCAGATTTTTAAGCTATATAAGCTAGCTGCATTTTCCATACCATAAAAACATTGATATTACTAGTTTCAAGAGTACCTGTAAAAAGCACATGGGACATATGTGTGTAAAAAGTCTCACCTCAATAAACATCTATGTGTTTGACATCCATTAATGATAGGCACAACTCTATATCAAATGACACAAATAATGTTTTAATAATTGTGATTAGGAATTGAAAGTACAAGGAATGTAAAGGTAAGTAGCTGAAAATGCTACACTTACTGCACACGAGCACATTGTAACAAGGAATGGTACCACAGCTCTCTTCCTGAAATGACTTTGGAAAATTTAAATGATTTTACTAGAAAAGTTAGAACCTTTAGTGAAAAAGTAACTCAATCTCCAAAGATCTATCAAATTGTAGATTTTGTGTAATTACTAACATACAGTTTAGGAGATTAATACTGATCAGGAGAACCTTTACATAGTTCTGAAGGATCTACAGTTACCTTAGTTTTACATGTCTATGAAACTAAAGATTCCTCAGTGAGAAGTCAAAGCTTATTCTGCACTAGATACAAGTAATGCGTAGATTCAAAACCAATGACTGCTCTTCACCCTTGAAGAGTCTATTTTAATTTATACAAAACTAGGCTGTTTTTTCACCTACAGCTGTAGATAAAAATGGTTTTGAAATGTACATGACCCATTTCCTAAATCCTAAAAGGGAGACAAATAGACAATAGTTTATGTATTTTGTGAATTTTGTCACCCCTTTTTAAGCAAATTCAACTGCCATCTAGTCAGTGATATGACAAGCTTGATACAAATTTCTATGACTTGGAAAATTAAAGATCTAAGAACTCTAAATGCTGCAGCTCTCTATCCTCCCTGTGCAAGTTCATGCACTCTATGACTCACTCCTCTCTTGCAGCCTGTACTAGCAACTTCAGTGTTAGCACTCAGGAGACCAAAAAGATTTGAGAAAAAGACACTGTCAAATTAACCCTCTGTAAGTGTATCTTAGCTTAATATACCTGTGAGTCAAATTTTAATTATAAAGCCATTTACTCTAACACAAATGAAGAATTAAATGTAATTAAGAACCACTCTTTAAAGCATCTTTACTTTTTTTTTTTTTGGTACCAGGGATCGAACTCCAGCCCTTGTGAGGCAGTTGCCGGAACCACTGAGCTAAATCCCCAGCCCTAGTCTTTATTTTTAATGAGTAGTATTTTTCACTTACAAACAAATGAAGTGAATAGCTAGCAGCATTTAGATACAGAAATAGTTCCATTTCTTCTCTTTTCCTTTCATAAAGTGCCATTTTTAACCAGACAAATTTACCACTCAGCTTTTCAATAACTACACCATAGATCTTTGAGTAGATACAAAGAAACATAGAGAAAATGGAAGGTTTAGCATTTTAAACATTTACAAAATGTTGCTACAAAGCATAAAACTATGAATGTATTAATGAAATAAAAATCTCTTACAGAAGAATCACTGACTTAATAATTACTTCATAGCATAGGTTCACTAACATGCCATCTTTTGCAAATTTAATCCTAACCTTACAGTTTCTGTGAATTTTTTCTAAGCACCATAATGTTGTGCCAAATAGAATCAAAGGTTATGTGAGTCCCAGCATAAAAATCCTAGCAAATTTAGATTTTTAATATGGAAAAACAAGTTAATGACAATCAGAACAAGAGGCAATGTTTTATTTAAAAGTACCATAGGCTGCTATGTGTTCTTCTATATAAATGTTTGGGTAGTTAATAATGGCCTGTAACAGTGCAGTGTTGAACAAACTGGTGGAAACCAGAGTACAGATTAACGGAAAAGTAAATGTTGCCTATTTCTTTAGTGATTAATTTAAAAGTGAAACTGCTTTAAAAAAATAACCAAACTGCTATTTATAATACAAATAAGATATCAACAGGATACCCATTATTTTCTAATTAGTATTTTTGAAACTCATCTGTCATGACCCTCAGTAGTACCTTAAAAGCAAATTAGTAAAAAACAAGGTAGCATGTAGTTTTGTTCACACTTACAAATGCTACCAGTTTTCTTACAATTTGCATGTTTTGTTGCTGTTGAAAAGTAGCTACTTAGAAAAATAGATACATAAAAGTGCACTATTCCTTCCTTTGGACGGATCCAGTAGTGGTTAAAGCAAAGGAACTCTCAATCATCAATTCTGCCCCCCCGCCATTTAGTACATTTCTAGTCCTTCAGGTCAGAGGGGTGGTGTGGGGAAGAGGCACAGATCAGTGTTTGATGAATCACTTAAAAAGAAATCCACTTTGGACTGGGGATTTAGCTCAGTGACACCGTGCCTGCCTGTCAAGCACAAGGTCCTGTGTTCGATCCCCAGCGCGCGCACACACACACACAAAGTACAAAAAGAAATCCACTTCCCTTACAACACTGGCCTGAAGGGGCTATCTCCCAACTCCCCAGTCCCTCAAGTAAGAACAGGTAATTCTGCCTGTCTTTTTTGGTCTCTCTTCCTTACCCACACCTAGTATCCTGAAGACAGACAAACCTTAGCATTTTGGAAAGAAGCTGTTTTTACCCAAACACATTGGACTTGGGTCTCAACTTGAAGGACGAGTGCCCTCTAAAGGACCGCTCCTCCTCCTCTTCCTCTAGCTGCTGCTCAGGGTCCCGGGAAGACAGCGTGGTGTGGATGACCTGGGTTTTGAAGCGGATCTTATTGAGTTTGGGTTTTATCCTCCCACTAGAGCTTCCCGAGGCTTTGCGATCCTTGGCTTTGCCTCCAGACCACCCTTCAGCCAAGTGGTGGTGATGGTGGTGGTCCCCATCCTCCAGAACGTGCGAGAGTCTGTAGGTGATGAGGTGAGCGGGGAGCACCTTGGACAGCCTCCAGCGCCCGCCCCCGCTGCCGGCCGCGCTCTCCACCTCCTCTTCTTCGTCCAGGGCGCCAACCAGGCTCTTGATTTCCTCCGCGACGCTTACACTCAAGTACTGGGAGGCCTTCCTCCCGCTGTAGTCCCTGATGTCCACGTCGGCGTCGTAGGCCCCCACCAGCAGTTTCACTACTTCCACGTGCCCGTGCATGGCGGCGAGATGAAGGGCGGTGTAGCCTCCGCTCGTGCGGGCGTTGATATTCACCGGTAGCTGGTGCTTGCCGGCGAAGTTGACCAGTGTGGCCAGCAACTCCTGCCGCCCGTGCTTGGCGGCCCAATGCAGGCAGGTGAAGCCAGTGATGAAGTCGCGCTTGGCCAGCAGGCCAGGGTCGCAGGTGAGCAGCGCCTCCAGGCCAGCCCAATGGCCGTCGGCGGCCGACAGCATCCAGGCGTGCTCCAGGGGGTCC